TGAGCAGCTGGGGACATCGTGCTCTGAACAGCTGGGAGGGCGATGGGGACACCGTGCCCTGAGCTGACAGCTCACCAGGAGCAAGGAGTGTTCCCTCCGGTGGGCAGGCCGGGTTTCACTTTGTTGATCCACGGGCCAGCTGGGATCACCTTGGGCTGGGCTGAGCTGATCAACTCTCTTTAACTGGAAAGCTCACAGGGATGGTTCAAACTTGGGCTTTTCTCACTCTCTGTGGCACAGCTGGGCCTCCTGAGGATTGAAATGTTTCAGCCTTATAGAGAATTGGAGGCTTCACATGGGGAAGCCTGAATAATCCACAGTTTACAGGAAATTTAGACATGACTCAACAGTTCCTTTTGGCAAGAGCTCTGGCACTGTAAGAACACTGCTGAGAAAGGAGGTTGCACATCCCACTTCGGCAGGCTTTGGAGTCAGTGACACCACTCACATCGAGCCTTGTCCCTTGGTGACCACAGCAGGACCAGCTGTGCTGAACAGCAGTTACACACTCTCAGAAGCATCGTGGTGCAGGTGCCGAAGGTTACATCAAGGGAACTCCACCACTTCTGTCTACACAAGTTTCACCTCTGAGCTTCTTTCTTCTTTATTTAAAAGTATTTTAAGCTGCTTGAACCAACAATGTCTCTTACTGTACATTGTTACTGAAATGGGACCCTCATCTCAGTAGCACCTCTCAGTTATTATTTGTATTGCCATCAGCAATACAAATATTAAAAGAACACATTTAAAAATCAGTTGTAGCACAGAGTTTTATAGAAACAAATTAAAAATACTCAGACCCAGTCTTAGCTTTTTCGTCCTATTATTATGAAGTTTCCATTCTACAACTCATATTTGGAAAAATATTTTATTATAGGAACTGTGAATGTCTCCTTTCCTTGCAGTGCAAATGCAGTGCAATGTTCTGAATGTGCGAGGATGAAGAAAGAGCAGAAACCACAGGTTTCTTTCTACACACGTATTCATGAATTGTGCAGAGTCGGGGACATCTCTCTGTAATTCTGGAGTTTCAAAGCAATGTGAGTTTCTGCACAACCTATCCTGTAGATTTGCAGTTGTTGAGATCTTTACTACATATAAAACCAAAGAAAATATCCACACAGCCGAGCCTTTTTTTTAATTATTTTTTCTTATTTGACACTCACATTACAAAATTTAGAAACCATAGACAGTTCAGGCAAACTGTTAAAACACAGTATAAATTAGGGGGGTTTAATATATAAATTCTATACATAGGTAAGTTAGCTGGAACATGACTGACAAAAGGATTTCATAACAATCTTACCACAACTGTATAAAAAGGCATGGGAGTAGGATGGGCACTATCATCATGAATGCAGGTTAAGACATTTTCCACAACAGCTATAAAGCGTAACAATGACCATGCTATTCTCGCAGTGTTTATGTGGGCTACAGGATGCATATTACCAATAACATTTTGCAAGATCTATGTACAGTCACAAAATCATAACAGCCACTTTCAAGTAACTTTACTGTTTCCTGCCTGTGGAATTAATAAAATGTTGGTATTTGTTCTGGGAATTTCTAACAAAGCTACATGGTTTGAGTGTTACGGACTCGATGATCTTCAAGGTCCTTTCCAATCTAAATGATTCTACAATTTTATTATTCTATGGTAGAGGGATTTCAATTTGACCTGAAAATGTTAATCACAACATGAATTTTTTAATTTAATGAAAAAGATACAGGAAAAGCACAGTTCCTCATTGCTATCACTCACATGATTAATATATACCACTCTTTTAAGCCATATTTATTTTTTAGCTTGATTATTTTTAAAACCTAAAGTGATAATTTACTTCCCATTTATCTAAGCACATCGGTAAAAAGGAGTAACACCAGAAGAAATGTAAAACTAAAATTTGGATATCTTTTTGGGGTAATTTTTTGAAAGGACGTGCTTCCCAGGTAACCCTGAGCCTGTCATGCAACCTTTGAATTTCTCAGTCTGAAAATAAAGACAATTCTGCTTATCCATTTCTACTCTATGCTTTTAGGTCTGTGACTAAATAGTATCATTCTAATAGTTTTAGAATACTTTGTTATTGGAGTTTAGGTTTAAGATAGTTGACACTGTTGCTAAAAGTGAAAAAAAACTTGAAATACAATCTTTTACCTTTATAAGCTGATGAATGCTTGCTAAAAGTTCTGAAACCCAGAGTATAATTTATTTTCCATCTATGTTGTATACTAGTAATGATGTTTTTATAGACAGACCCCTAAGGGAAGTATTTGTACATTTGTAAGAATCAAGACTTTGAAACACTTGAATTTAATAACTCTGTGTGTGCATCTTTCACTAAGTTTTAATAATTTTGACTATTGTATTGGAACAATTCCTTCTGCTTCAAGGCAAGGACAGACAGTAAGTGATAACCCAACTTGGGCTGCTAAAAAAATACAGATGATCTCAACAGTCTAAAGTACAGCCCCCATTTTCTCCATTCTGTTTGCCCACAGACCAATCATCAAAAAAACATCATATGTTCATTTTAAAAATATTGGAATTTTAGAAGCATAATTGAATAATGAAAGCACTGATATAGTACTGACCAGTAATAGTTCACTGAGGAAGTTATGTTTCTCTAAAAGTTAGCTGGAATATGAAATTTTCTGTTCAGAATTTCATCAGATGGGCTTTGCACCTTTTAGAAGGAAGGTTCTTTTACAAACATTTAACTTGTAGGACTCCTGAGCTCCGAACTCCTAAGTCTTCTGCATTCTAGGAGGCCTGGGAACATTGCTACACTGCAATATTAATCTGGGTAGACAGTTTTAAGGCCATGGGGATGAAAAGAGAGAAAGACTCCTATTCTGTTATGACAGATCTGGAGTATGAATACAAAGCCTTTGTATGGCAGAGAGCGAGAAAAATGTTCCTTTGACATTTTGCAAGAGCTGTTTATGGAGCAAAATACCACTTCTGTGGAGGGAATGGCGTCAAGGGAGGAGTGAGCAGTCCAAGCCACTCTGAATTTACAGCACTACAGCCTGTGCTGGCCATGGAGCAGGGCAGGAGACCTAGGCAGGAGTTACTCATATTTAGCTTTTTTCTGCAGCTAAGGCTGCAGCCTTTCAGTGTCTTGCACCCATGCAGAGTGTATGACATTCCAGCCATACAAGCTTATTTGCTCCCTGGCTACACTTTCAAAATGTAACAATGCAGGATGTGATTCCATGTATGAGCATTAGCTTTAGTGTACCAAGTATTTTTTGCACATCTGAAAATACGCAGAAAGAATTGTAAAGAAATTAATACAAACCAGATTAAACTTCAGATCTGTTCCATATAAAAAAGCAACTGGCTCAGCTGTTCTACAGAGCAGGGAGCAGTGGTTTCAGGGGAAGCGACACACTCTAGCCAATATTAAAACAAGATTATTGGTAACTTTCTGCACCAGTATTTCATTGTTTTCTCTCCTGCCTTCTCCTGCCCAGCTGCCATTGGTAGTAATAGAAGATATTTTGTTTCATTCTGCTGCCATGCAGTGAAATATGAAAGTTAACAACCATCAAAGTACTTATCATAATTTTAAAAATACTTATTTTTCTTAGATCTTAAAATCTCTGTCAAATAAGTAACAAAAAAATTCTTCACTGTTTTAAGTCCACTGGAGAAAAACTCTTTTAGTTCAAAGAATTTTCTTGTAATCATTCTGTTGTGTGGATAAGGAAGTATAGTAGGCTTTGCCTCAGGTAAACTTCCTCTTTCAGATGGGATGTGTCCTAGAATCGCAAAGCAGAGTGCAGGCTCAGATGTGAATGCACTCAGCTTTGTCCAGGATCATCCCATCACCCCATGTGTCCCTGATGGTGCCTGTGCTGCCATCCTGAGCTGGGTACAATGTGTGTGCTGTTCCCCAGCCACAGTTCAGGAGTGCCCTGCACCACCTACAGAGGGAATTCCATGACAGGTAATGCTAGAAAGGACAAAAGAAAAGACAGCTTTGGCCCAGTCTCAGAGTCTCTGAGCAGTAAAAAGGGGGCTTTTCCTTGTTCCCTTGTCACTCCCTAAGCCCATTCTGCAACTACAACGATGGAAATAATCAGTTCACAATCAAAGGGGGTTTAATTTCCAATGAGAGAGTAATTTGAGACATTATGACTAATTTCTACCAGTATAAAAAGAGAAAAAGATTCTTAAAGCCAGAAAGTAAAATTTTGCTCTCAGACACGAATTAGTTCATTGGATCAGTTTTCGTCCTTGAATTTGCTGCTGAAACTTCAACAATGTCAAAGAAAACTTTTGTTAAGGCTGGACTTTCACCCTATTTAGTGCACCTCCTATCTGAGAGTTGCACCTGGCACAGACTCCACCAGCTGGCAATGCAGTTTAATACCTATGAATAACTAAAACCTGTACTACAGTTAATAATTACAGGACTGCGCCAAAGCCCATCAAAATTAATTGAGTTTTTCCTCTGGCACGTTGCTATGCTTGGAATCAGTCTTGTTCCATGGAACACAGTCATTGCTAGGCCAGAGACAGCTCTGTAACATTTTTACATTGATATGCATACCTATCTTTTCTACTAACAGGTCTTTTCAGTTGATAATTCCAATTACATATTCAGTGATCTGAGTTCTGTTCTAAACTGGATTTACAGTCATGTGCAAACCAGTGCTCATGTGCTTTAAGAAAAGGTATATATACTATTGCAATAAAACATGATGAAATAACCAAGGACGGGACAGGCTGAATTTTAAGTGAGTGATTATCTTACCACCACTGACCACATCATAAAATATTCTCGAGCTGAGAAAAATATCTCTACATTTAAATTGTTTCTTATTTGAAGTGCTTTAGCAGCTGTCCACACTTTTTTCAAGTGACAACGCAGCAGAAGCTGAGATCACAGTTTATCCACATGGGGAGCTTCCAGAGATATAGAACAGGATTGTGTTCATTGCCTAAGAGAGGAAATAATGACAGTGTAATCAGGGTACTCATGGTGCAGAGTGCTCGAGTGCTTGACTCATTTCGAGTTTCTGCCCTGAAAATTTAGTCGTGCCCAGCTGCCCTACATCCCTGCACCTTTAATTTGGTAACGTGATTGATGCTGATGTGAAGTTGAGGGCAACATTGTATAATTAAGTGTCTTTTGAAAGGCATTGAGCAAGTTCATCTACTGACTTCACACAAGCTGCACACGATTCCATACTTTCTTTCCACTGAGCTTTATACCTAGCCCTGCATTTCAGGATGGAACACTCAAGAAATGGAAAAATGGGACTTTTGCTACCATTCTGATTACACTGGAGGAGGTGCAGAAGTGATTTCATGTATTTGGGTCTTTTAAAATACTGCTGTATACCAGAAGCTAAGTTAATGCTTCTGCAAGACTGTGTCATAGTCACATCTTTACCAGCTTAGGGGTTTGATACAAATTTTGATACAACTGCAGATCTACAGATCTAGTTTTGCTCTGTTCTCTGTGTAGCATTAGTTCAAGCAGCTGCCAGGGAGTGAATCCACTCAAAGAAGCAGAATTGGAAGGCCACAACATTACTACAAGTAACTTGTCTAGATGTTGGTCTAAAGAATGCATGCCTTACAGTGGTTTAGTGCTTGGTGGGAAGTGATTCTTTTTTTTTCAAGCATGGCAGGAGTTCTTTATGCCTTTATAGCAAGAAAAATGGATTACCAGACTTATTTATGTTCTCATTTTCATATAATATTAATACATTTTTAGAAAAATCTATTGCCCAAGTTGTCATTCTTTGTTTTCAGTTGTACTGGTGTTTGTTGGTGAAGCAAGGCTCTAACCCTGCTCCTGCCAGGAGCTGTTCACCCTGGTTAGGCCAAGATGGATTAGAAATGCAACCGACAGCTGCAACTTAAGGCTTACATTGGTTCAGTTGAAATAGCATTTAGCTACAAAATTATGTGAAGACAAGCTATGGCTCCTGAAGTCCGTTTTTAAAAAGCACTGTATTCTCATTTTAAGTTGTTTTGCTCTCTCATCTCCAAGTCATTTTGCAAAGAGCAGTGAGTGTCTCTGGAGATCAAATACTACAGATTAATGTGCCATGCACCTCTATAAAGTGCTATTCCCCAAGAGATGAGGATGTTTAGCACCTCTGAAAAAAGACCTTTTAAATGTGTGGCTACATAAAGGCTAAAGAATAATTTAGTGCTTCTGACAGTTCCACTAAGCCCTTAATACCCACCTAAATCTGACCTTTATGCTTCCATTTTAAGCACTAAGGTTTGAAAATTTTGGACTACAAAAGTGGTTTAGTTTGCAACAGTGATAAACTTCAGGAGATCTAATTTAAATTGTACTTACAAAATTGCCCAAATTCATGGAAGGTGCCCCAAAATATAAAGAATTATAATGAAAAATCACATTCTAATTAATTGTCACTGTTTTATAATCTCATCTGTACCAACCTCTAGTGGCTCATTAGAAAAGGAGTGAGGATTTCCATTTTAAAAAGCAAGTTCTAAGAAAGGGCCCATCCACCTGCACTGGTTTCAGATAAGCAAACCCCCCATATTTCCACTGTGAAGTCACACTGTGCCTGTTAAAAACATGCAGATAGTAAGAAAAAATTGCCATTTAGCAAACACACTTAAACATTAGCATTGTTGTAGATATGTTTATGGTTATTGCTCTGGATTCATCTGAAATTTAACAGGCTTTTAATGGCTTCATTTTGGAAATGGTTCTGCCTGAAGGAACAGCTATATATGTATAGTTTCTCTGTATAGCTCTCAGCTCATGTACAAAAATTAACAAACAGCAGATTCACAGTATCAGCAGAACAGTCATCATTCCGTGGCTGCAATGATGCTGTACCATCCTTACACTTAATTCTTCCATACAAAGCACAAATAAACACATTAGAGTTTTATGTCCCCCCTGTCTGAATTCATATGCTGATAGATCTACAGCAAAAGGAGACCTGAAGTTCTGCTTCAAGCCCTGATTGCAAATCCAGAAGAATCCATCCTGCTCCACTCAGCAAGCACAAGTGGATTCAGTGAGCCAGACTGGGCTCCCACAGGCCATAACCCAACACAGAGCTGCTCTGCAGACACATCAAACCTGGAGTGTACCACACAGAGCATTCTCAGGTTACTGCCCTCAAACACCAGCCTGTCAATGCCTCCAGGTCAGCAGCTTGCTCAGGCACAGGCAACTGCGAGGCCTGGCAGAGAGCAGGAACAGCTCCAGTTTTCTGGCTGAATAGGCCAACACAGTCAGGTTTTGTGATCACCCTAATTTTTCAAAACACTACAGCCACTTGGAATCACTCTGTGCTGAAATAAAATTATTACTGATTTCAAAGAAAGGTTTACATCCTTCTGTTGTAGGAACATCTGAAAAGGTAGCACCAAATCAGTAAGAAAAATGGAAAGTTCAGTATGATGTGGTATTTAGGTTTAATTTAAGCTTTTTGAGATCTTTTTTCTGGGGCAGTTAGGGACATTCCTTCCACACACAGACAATAAGTCTACTGTTAGGGCTTAGTTTTGAATCTAATATAGTTCATTATCATTTAATATATGTCTTACAGTAGCACCTTGATTATTGTACAACCTTAAACACAGGACATAGTCCCTGTTTCATGTTATCTGTAAGGAAGTGGTGAACTTTACATCTTAAAAGTAAAAAAGACAAAAATGGTTACCTGCTCTTGAATGACAAATTCTTTAGTGCATTCATTCCAGTCTGAAACCCTTAGTCCTTTTAAAGCATACCATGTAGTTCCCAAGTTCAGAGCAATTACCCCCTATCCTCCTAAGTATCATGTTACAAAATAAACAGTACTGTGTTAATTGGAACCTGATAGAAATGGTAATGCAGTACCTTTTTTCTTTGAGTGTGATAAAACCCCTTAAAAGATGCAACTCAGCATCAATAAATTTAGGCAATACACTACATATATTAAATAGAGGTAAGTTGAGTCCAGAGTTATTTGCTTCTTCATTCAACCTCAGAGGTGGTGGGGGTGTCTTTAAGCAGCACCATTAACCCTCTGTGCCCTCCTCAGACCGGCCCAGATTCACAGTAAGGAAAGCAACAAGCGCGGCGGGAAGATCAACTAAGCGAGAGTCACACTCCAGGCTGTTGTCTGTAAAAATCCATGGGGTAAGGACGGCGGCCACATGCTGGCATGGCCTGTGTGTGACACACGTGTATGTGAGCCGTGTCAGTCCTCATCTCTGCAAGCTCAAACCTGCAGCAGTCAGTGCTTTGTTCAACAAGGCTGGGGGACTGCTAATGCAAGATTAAGTTCCTTTTTCTTCATTCAGCAATTAACCAGATTGCTGTTGTCTGTCTTTGATTTAATTTTACAATCCTCAGAGGTTTAAAGAACTGCTGTCTGAAGCACCTGCTTCTGAAATACTCTTGTGTATTTTTGCTTTCCTTTTTTATACTTTTCCATTCTCTGTTGCAGTACCGTGATTCTCCCTGCTCCCGGTTTTCCTGCATTTTCCTTCAAAGGCAAAATTACAGTGATCCTGACGCAGTTTGGGCACAGCCACAAATAGTCTGTTTGTCTGTCCTCTCTCTGTCTCATAGTTAGAAAAGCATCATTGTGCACACAGTTCTGTTGATTTCAGTGGATGAATCCAGTTCATCCATCATGTTAGGCAGTCAAAAAAAACCCAACAAAAAACTCAAACAAAAGAAATTGTCTAAATCCCAAACAGGCATCTTTGGAATCAGTAGTGCAAAATGTTTGCCGATTTCTTTTCCTTGACCTACTGCAATAATCTCTCAATCTTCAAGTCTTTCCTAAAATAGTGGATCTGTAAAACATAAAGACAATTTTTTAAAAAAGCAAATTTAAAGGTTTGGGTTGTTTTAATCACTCTCTTCATATTCTCACTTATATCAAATCATTACACATCTCTTAGAAGAGCTGTAAATTGTTGGAAGATCCAGCTGACCCGGGGCATTCTTCATCTGCATCAGGCTTTTTGCATGGGTACAGCAAGCTGAGGGTATTCTTTACACGGAGGATAATTTGAGATTAAAATAAGCTTTTATCAGTGCAGACTCAGCTCTGCAAATTAGTTTTAAAGGGAAGAGACCTCCCTCAGAGGTGACAGCTTATATACCTGCACTTCACAAGCTTTGGTATCAGAGCAGCCATTTGGAGGTACTTTAGAAATGACCTGATAAAATGAAAGGTTACCTTAAGGATTTCCACCTGTCTTTTTCTGTCTGGTTTTCTGGACTTTCACTTTCATATGAAGCCAGATACAAACCTGGAAATGATAAATATGTGTTACTTCTAACAGCATAAGTAACCCCCATCCCTCTGCATTCTTGTATGTCCTTTTGTACCACGCTGAAAGAGAAACTTTAAAACTTCATGGTTCCTCAGGTAGCTGGTAATCAGTGGGACACTGATGTTTAGCTCACATGTCTACCTTGGAAAGCTATTATGTTAGTTTTGATGGAACAGTAAAGGAGCCTAGATTTAAAATATGTTAGTGTGACCTTCTCATTACAATATTAAGCAATTGAATGGTCTCTGGTTTTGCATGCAGAGATCTGGGCCCATTTCCTCCATCACAGCACTGCTACTCAAGTTACATGAACTTCAAAAGAGAGTGAGAGCTGACACCTAAACACATAAGCTTTTAGAAACTAAGGATATTCTCATCACATAACAAAACTTTATGTTCCTCTATCTTTTTAAAGCTTATAGGGACATGGTATCTTAAATGTATACACAATACCCTAAAGGTAAGATTGAGTCACAGAAACCAGAGAAGGAATGCAGTGGAAGAAAATAAATCTATTCTTTTTCCTCCCTGCAAATCTTTACACTGTAGGATGCATTTTATGACACCAAAATGAGTCTAGATTGTAGAATCTCCTCTGCAAAAGCTGGCAGTGCATTAACATCTCACTGTCTTCACGGAATCACAGGCTGTAATTTGTGTTCACACACATTTCCTCATTTGACTGTTTCACTATGCTTTTATTCTTTAATGCTGGAACCATCTCAGCATTCAAGGGTGTGCTACAAATGCATTATCTTTTAATATTCATTACTCCACATCGTGACAAGCACAGTACAGCTGCATTTCACATGCCACTGCTGAATCTCTCTCAGATATATTCTCCCACCTTTCTTTTAGGGCAGTTCTTTCTACTCTGCACTGCCCCTAGGTAATAGGGGAGGCTTCATGTGGCTTCTGCAAAGGGCATTTCACAAAAGCAACAGGACTATAGGAGAGGACAGGAGGGAGAAAATCTGCAAACAAATAGTGAGTTGAGGTCACTCCTTTTTAGTCCAGTAGCCTGAAAACTGTACTTTTACCCTGACGTTCATTTGCTGTCCCTTTAGAGCCTAAAACAAGAAGAAATGACTTAATCTTATCTCCTTTTGATACAACTGCTTTCATCACATTAATTATTCTATTTTGGCAGTCATTCTTAAGATTTAGGCAGGATTTTAGAAGCAGTATTTTGCTTTCTGAAGGGTCTGTGAAGTAAAAGCTGTCTGGTCTGATTACCTTGGATTAGTACAGAAAACTGCCTATAGAATGAAGAAAAAATAAACCCACCACCAGAATTGCTTATGGGAAGGTTTCTATAGACAATTCTGTGAGTGACAATGTATAGAGAGGCAGCTGACACAAACCAATATGAAGTGACAGTCTGACATGCTGGATACCAAACTGACGAGGACAGAAAAGTATAAAAAGACAATCAGAGAAATAATTTCAGAACAGGGCTTTCATAGCTACAGCTGAAATTAATAGAAAAGGTTTTCTTAAAAATTCTTTTCTGTACATAACGTGTCATTACTGTGGAGGAGGAGGTCAGCTGGACTCCATCACCCTGGGCTATGTTTACTGAAGAGATGACAGTGTTGGTTTGTGAAAGAGATTAGCTCTGGTTCCATCAATCACAGAATGAGAGGCTAAGGGACAGCTGACATTCACAGCAGCCCATGACATGCTTGTGTGGCCTCTTTTTGTGATTACAAAAATAGGGCCACAATGGCAGCTTCCTAGACAGTGCCTTATAGAGAAGCTACAGACAGGAGAAAAGCCATCAGGCAGCAGCTTCATGTGCTAGAAGGTTCTATTTGCAAAAACACATTGCTAGACTGGGGATAAACAAGCTGTTTGGCAGGAAAGCTGGGAAACAGCTGGGATGGTCAGTGAGAGAGATCAACAAAGCATGGATCAGGGTGTTAATTAGTAGTGATGGAGAGAAACATTTTCAGTGATAAGTGATTGTACAAAGTCTTACCATCTTCAGTAAAAATGGGAGCAGTGTGCAAGTAGTGGATGATGTTAGGGTCTTGCTCAAATGGACACTCCACTTGTTTCCATGTTATAAATTCTCCTACTTGCTTAGCCAGTTCCAGAAATTTCTGTAAACATAAGATAATTCCACTCAGATATAGTAAGATTACCTCATATTCAGTGTTTGATGGTCTGCATTGAAAATTGCAGGCCAATGGTCTCAGACAGTCCCTTGGCTATCGGAATGGGATAGGTAAAAACATTTTTCAGATCTTACTTCAAAGTTGACATGTCCATTTGGAAGGCGATTAGCACATCCCTCATTCAAAAAATAAATGTCTTTGATCAATAGGCTGAAGAAGGGGATCACAATCTGTGGAGAGAAATGACATAACCGTTATCTTTTCAGTTCAGTATTTTCTCTGCATGACAGAACAACTCAATTGGCAGAGATGAGAATAAAGAAGTATTAACTTTTCAGTGTGCTGTGCACTTAAAAAGCAGTACAGTGACAGGCAGGCAAAAGGGCAGTAGTGTCTAGAGAGACCTTCAGCCACCTTCAGAATGTATGCTGAGATGAAAGTGAACTGAACACAATGTTCACTGAGCACAATAACATGATTAAGAAAATGCTAAAAGCCCAGTTTATTATCAACAACATCACTGTCTGATGACAACATCAGACAGCAAAGAGTAAAATAACATTGCAGAACTCTTCCCTTTCCCGTTCAGCAGAGATGCTGAACACAAAAATTAAGCAATTTAAACACAGGTAGGAACCAAAGAACCAATATTGTCCCTGGACAAAGAAAGACAGCATAAAATTTGATGACCAAGGACTTGTCTACAAACAGTTAATCAGGAGCTGTTTCATTTTCAACAGCTCCATGCATGGCTACCTCTTGAGGTTTGTAATTTCCTTCCTGGTGCCTGATTAGTACAACCTCCTTCTCCAAATTAACCTGCAGACAACAGGATTGAAAATATTAAGCTGGTTGACAGGAAACTGCTAACAGTAGCCAGAGAGACCATTGTAGTTCTCAAAATTAGCCCTGGCCATCATCCAGGGCAGAGTGGCGGCATATAATGGTGATACAAGCCTTCCCTCTAACCCATCAGAGTTGGGTCATAATTTGCTATAAAAGAAGTCTGAGTAAGGGTCTTGAAACTGATAGAATTACAAGCAGGGATAAATAAATTTTATGCCAGATATTCTACAGCAGAAAGCAGTAACAATGCTCCTGAAGTGCATCCTCAACCTCCGCAGAGATCCAGAGTGAAGCAGACTCCCTCAGGGTCCTTTGTCTCACAAGTCAAAGGGAAAAGAAAGATAACACAAAGGACCAGTCCATGAAAGCTGACAGTCAAACCTCAGTCTGCCCACCTCTCCAGCAGTGACGCTGTGACAGCAAAAGGCTGCTTGGGGGGTTTGAGCTGAAGGTCAGTAGAATTCTGTGAGAATTCTCCTTTGGCAGCAATTTCTGTCTTTTAAACTACCAAGTACAAACTAAACCACCATGAACATAAAACACACTGCATGGCAGTGCCCAAATGTTTCCACTGGTCTTTTTGTATATTAACTGAATTGGAGCTTATTAAGCAGCACCGAAGCTAAAGAGCCCTCATGGCAAGCAAGAAGAGCCAAGAGAGTTATCCTTTTGTTAAGTATTTAATGTTATTCCATCTCATGCTGTACATCAACTGTAACAGGATATGAAATGGACTCAGAACAGGATTGGCAGCTGTTATTTTCCAGTCTACATGGATGCTACAATGCTGTGATCCTCCAATGAGTGTGAACAAGCCATAGAAGTGAAAACACTGAGGCAAGGAGTCCACAAGCTACTGTCTGTGTGTGCTGTGAAAATGGAAGCCAATTTCTGTTCTAGCTAAATTACCACATCCAGTAAACTTTTAAAGATCTGCATCTGCTGGCTTTCTTATGGGACAGCCACAGATAAACTCTGTAATGTCACTACAACAACCATAAAAAAGCCTGGACTGACACTCCAAGAGCCACTGGATACTGATCCTGATACATTCCACTGATAAAACTCAGGAATGAAAACAAAGCATAGCCTTATCCTCCCAAAATGCTGAGCCCTCCTATTAGGGTCAGGTGGAGCAATTCCTAGTCAAACTGAGCTAATTGTGTTTCAGGATTTATTTTCATATTACCCAAACTAGATCAATCAATCTGAAGTAAAGAATACAACTCGGTCTATGTGATTTGTTTTCTGCTAAAAATACTGACTCTCTAATCAGTGTGGTCTCAAAAGGTGGAAAGATACAGAGAGCTGGAGCCAGACACTGATCCCCAGCTAGGAATCACTGCCAGGTTCTCTCTACATATTTTTTTTGCACGCAGATGTGAGCTTGTTCTGTCCTGCTCCACTGCCTGGGAGCAAGGTCAGCACCATTAGTGGTACTAAACACGAAGGAAAAGCCTTGCTGAGAGGAAAGGTACACAAATGTGGGCTGGATGCCAGGCTAATACAGCTACAGAGCCCCCAGCCAGCTCAGAACATGGCAGAGCTCATTCTCATTTCATCCAAAAGGCGCTAAAGACATACCCGAGGATATCAATTCTCTACATATTTCCATGGAATTGCTATATTTTGGTTACCATTTATTTCCCCAATTAAAATATATTACCCTGTATGTTTTGCTTTCCAAATTTCTGTAGGAAAAACAACAAAAGCAGTTACAATTATACTCTAATACTGGCTTCACTCCAGGCACTTTGCTAGCATAAAACCTGGGTTAGTGCCAGAAAGTAATATTTCTCTCCATTTTTATCCCCGTTCCATGCCATCCAACCCACCCAAATGCTGAAGGACGATTGACTTCTGCAGAAAGAAGAAAGTTAATGAGATCCGATGTGGTTTTGCTCCACAGTATCAGACAGAAACAACACACAGCACTGTGCTGTACATACTCCCAACATTTCAAAGCCAGAGCCATGCCATGAGTACAATACAATTTCCCAGTGGAATGACTTAATTTTGGAACTGTCACAGGTCATTTGACTGCATAGACAAAACCAGACTTACTCACTAACCAGTACACCCCTCTGCAACCACAATGCAGTTTCAAGATAAAAATTTTCTTCAGAGTGAGCTTTGCTATGAGTTTGCCAAGAAACAATGTAACATCTATCACAAAGAAGTGATCATGTTCTTTTGGATGTGTTCAAGTTCATTAAAATGAATAAATTATAATCTTGCTTATAAAAAGAAACAAAATTCCTTAATCCTACAGAAAGCATGACACGATCTGCTGTATCTGACACTGTAAAACACCCACTATGATTAGCTACCCAATCATGTCCTGGAGCATTTTCCTGAACTAATGTTGTCTACACAAGGAAAACAGAATATGGTGTTTTTCTGGTGTTAAATAGATTCCTTTCAGTCTAATAACCTCTCTGCCATCAGTATTAACCAGCTGGGGTTAGAGATATGATAGAGATTGCTAACTTCACAGGAAATTAAGTCAAACAATAAAGCAACTGGTTTGAATATCTATGATATAGTTGCAGAAGAACTCAACTGCAAAAGCATCTCAGACTGACAGGATCTTGCTGCAGTGTGTGAGAGTTGAAATAATTGCTTTTCCAGTCACAAACATCCAAATCATCTCTCCTTTGCATAGAGAAATGCTTTTCAGAACAACTCAGTGTACTCCCACTGCAGCTGAGTCAGCCTGCCACCAGATGCTGATCTCATTTCACTGTAAATGCTGTGAGATTCCATTAGCTTCAGCAGATTTACATCAAATTTACAGGGGTGTGAGATTAGCATCTGGCCTGGCTCCTCTCGTGAATGAATGCTAAATTCCATATTGTGCTTGTTCATGCAGCATCTACTTTAGCTTTGCCATGCTTAGTGCAGAGATTACCCATTTATGACTATGGGCAATTGCAGTGTAAAACACAAACCCTCTTTCATATACCAAAAAAATGAAGAATTAAATGGAGGAATAAGAAAATTAACAAGAAACATATTGAGGCACAAAATAGGAGGATCCTACACTCTAACATCTTGTCAATCTGATTTTTGCAGCATCAGTGACATGTCAGAAAGCTCCACATCTGCCATGAGCACTGATAAAACACTTCAATTCTTGCTCACTGAGATGGTAACAACAACCAAATGAAATGAAAATTCACAAGGACAGAATATCACCCCAAATTTGCTGCAATGGATTCAGACTAGACTCCTTGCAGGACGTGTAGTAAATCATCTTTCCCTAACGTAAATGGAGAGCCACCTGGTCTCCATTGCTGTGCCCTTTGCTCTCCATCTCACCTCCCACACCACACAATAGGGGCTTCTGTGCCAGAGCCTCGGGCACTGTGCTAACAAAGCACAGCTCCACCTGCATCTGCCAGGCTCATGCTCCATCACCAAAATAAAAGTCGTTTCAGTCTGGAATACCTGTTCCATCAGATTTATCAATCTAAACAACGTGAATTTTCCAGGGATTTAGAGACACTTGTAACAAAGTCCTCTGTGCTGTGTGTCCTGCCCTCTCTAACCCTCCAATGTCTGACATTAAGTCCACAAAGATTTGCTTTGATCCTATCCAGCCTCTTTCAATCACTTTTAAAAAATATATTTTACATTTCCAGTTTCATCTTGAAGCACACAGGCCTTGCACTGGTGACACATGGAAGGGAGGAGAGCATCTGCATCAAGTGTTTGAGCCACTGACTCCCAGCAGAAATGCACCCCACGCATGTGGAGATGGATGGGGGGTGGTCACACTCACCTTCTCCCTGTTGCTGTGGGCAGTGAGGGACCTGTGGGCAGCCCCCCGCAGCGCTGTCCGGTAGTTGTAGAAGTTGCCAGTAGGGTCCATCTGGTGCTACATGCACAAAACAACACACAGTGATTAGAAAGTAGCCTGGGCCGTCTAAAGAGAATTTTACATTCAGTTTTAGCAAACCATGAACAGAGCAGAGCCTCCATCTTCAAAATGTACATCTTCAAAATCCACATGCCTGCAGAACCCCATGTGCCATGGATACAATGAGAGGTCTACAGCCCATGGCTGTCCATACCTTTGATTTTTCTACTGACAGCTTTAATGTGAAGAATAAGCACTGCACATTTCTGTGCACTGCACATTCTGTGTGTGCCAAATCCCGGAGTCCTCAATACAAAATACAGTCTTAGGTCTTCACTCAGCCTCCAAGGCATAGATTGGGAGCTTTACATTCAGCATCATGACCATGGCTAAATAAAACACGCATCAGTGGAAGCACTGTGGTGTGCATATAGGCTTATACTTTGGGGACTTTTAAATTCCTCTTATTTATTTGAGTACTTTGAATTCCCTCTACATATTATCAGCTTTACACCCTCCTCACTACACCTGGGATATTTCAGCTTAGAATCAGGCCCGCCACCTGTGAAATGTGTCTCCAGACATCTCACATCTGGATAACAATGTAAAATTCCCAAACAAAAGTATCCTGAATATACTAAAGCAGTGAATCAGGATTTTTTTTTTTTTTTTACCTCGAGAATGAAAAATTTGGCTGTTTTCACTTTTGACCAAGTCTTCTTTAGCCTGGAAACTGGACTCATATTCATTCCAGCTATGAGTGAGAGAGAAAAAAACAGAGCCATTGATAAGAGCTAGGTTTCCTTTTTCATCTGTGACAGCTGATGGAAGACCTAGTTAGAAGCTGTACTTACAAATGATTGCCATCAGTGAATTAAAATTCCCTATGTTAAAGCACTCTCGGGCAACGTCAATGAAGAATTCGATGACTTGGGCTCGCTGCTTCTTTTTTGCAGGCTGTAAATTAAAATAAATGAGTATCTGTAATGAGCATATGCAGAATTGGAGGTCATCCTAAGCATTTGTTCCATGCATAGTGTGGCTTCATGCACAGCTTGGGCCATCTGCTTTCAGTCACTGGCCCTAATTCTGTTCCAGCAATCCAGTGGATGCTGGTGACTGGCAGCCTCTGAAATCAAAGCTTTCACTGCAGTGACACAGAAGAAATTCACGGCAATTCCCAGCTCCAGTGACTTTCGCAGTGCTGGAACAGACAGCCCAAGCAGCCCTGAAGCAGAGCCTCCACTCCCTGCTAGCCTCCCTCGAGTCCATGGGCTCATCAGCACAGACTTCCCTAAGAACAGGATTTCACACCCCTATAGCAGCAGCATCCGTGTCCCAGAAAGAGCTTCTTTCATTGTGTCAATCCCTTTCGCCTCTTCTGCCCCTTTAGCAACATGGCCAGGCCAAATGACAGCATTTTAAATACACATTTTAATTGGACTGGAATCACTCTATCTTTTCCAAAGATGATCTTCAAATGGTAAGACTTATGTTGTCACAGGCTAACCAGGCTCTTTAAACTATTATTATTCCTCCTTCCATACCCTTTTCAAAGAGGAAAACATTAATTTTGATGGGACTAAGTTAACAAACTAAAACCACTACCAAGTTAAGAAACAACAGCCACAGATACACTAATAGGCAGCAGGACAGAGAGCCATGCAGTGGGAATTCACACACACAGCAGATCTTTAGGATGACAGATAACAAATATGGCTCCACTAGAATCTTTGCTAGCAGAAATCTCACAGGATAACTCAAGGCATTTTTTCCTCTCTTTTTCCCTGCAGGGTTCATTATTCTACACTGTGCTCCTACTACATCAAGAGAACAGTGCTTTCCCCCATGTGCTGCTGCCTCTGTTTTGCAATATGTTTGTCATTTATCAGGTTGCTTGTGCAAGTGCAACACTACTAAAACTTATTATCAGATGCTTAGCTGGGTCATAAGAAATAAATCCCCAGGATTTCTTATTAATATAAAATCTCAGAGTGGTACTTCAGGTATGTGCTAAAACATGGCATATACTTGTAACTTACCATGCAAATTTCTGTTGCTACGAGATAGCAGAGTCTATTGAACCATTTCACATAGGCCTCAAGGTTACTTGTCTTCTTCTGTTCACTGAAACAAGTCTGGGGGGGGGAAAAAGCACAGAAAAATATAAATGTGTTCCAGTCAGTGACCTGATCACTAAGATAAATACTGCACAAAGGTAATTACTAGGCACGTCTCTCTCATGCTTATGGAAGACTGTGCATTTAAGGGTCCCTTTAAAAAATCCTATGAGTGGCAGATGGGGGTCTAGCTGGGTGTGTCACACTGCACAATTCACACTGGTGTCCAGAAAACAGCCCCATTTTGCCTACAGCAAGTGTTCACTGAGAGTCTGTACTGACCCTTGTTCCCTGGGATATGAACAGCTGAGGCACTGAACGATTCTGACACCAAGAAGGAATGCAGACAAAATAAGACAGGCACAATCTTCCACAGCAGGCTCAGTTTGTGACTTGGATTCCAGCATTTCCTCCACCTCAGTAAATAAAATCACTCGCAGCCCTTTTCTGGAGGGGAGGGACCAGAATTTAGTGAAGCGTATAAGAAATAAACAAGAGGAAACACAGTTCTGGTTGATTTTTTTATGAAAAAAACCCCACTATTTTCCTTAGTGAGGTTTCAGAAAAGCAGGTTCTTAGCAACCAGCTCTGCCTGGATGGCTGTGCTTGAACAGGTTACTTACATGGCAGAGGCACTTCACTGATAAGAGCCATTACAAGAAGCATAATTTTCACTTATTTATGTAAAACTTAACATAAATTCCCATAACTGATAGCGGCTATGCGAGCAGATACTTGGCTGAATTCTTCCAGTTCCTTTGTCATCAGCAGAAAATTTGACTTCAGAGGAGTGATAGGGCAGTTCACACAGCCTGAATATGTTGCTTGGGATTGTAAGAATTCAAGTGCTTTTCCCAGCTTTAAATTCTTAGGCAGTCCATCTAGGAAACTCAGCTCTCTAAAGCTCAAGAGATTTGAACTGATCTGAACATTCAGTAACATCCACTAGAGGGTACCAGAGAATACTGATTTTTGTTTTATTAGGACGATCATTTCCCAGCGGTATCATAAACACATGCCACTAAGAGGAAAATCATAATGCATAAGCAAAGATCCATTAATGTCAATGGGATCACCCATATTATGTAAGGTAAACCAGTGACTAAGAACCCCTTCAGAAATGTGACTTAATATGATTCCCAAGGTAATTCAAAGTAAGAAAATATTCACCTGTGATTCTGTATACAGACGTGTTTAGAAACAGAAATCACAGTACCATGCTATGGAGACCGAATTTCTGAGCCACTTTATGAATAGACTACGAACACAAGAAAAGTGTATTTTTAAATCACCTCAAAAGTAAATGTTAGCAAGCAGCATGTAAATATCAAAAACCTAAAGGAAACCCAAATCAGCCTCAGTCTAACCACAGCAGCTGCTTTTCTTGTGCTCTGTTTCTTGTTTCCTATTACAGCAAAAAGTACACAAAACCCAGGTTTTGTTCTGAAAATAGTATTTCCATCTCAGAACTGTTGTCCTGTGCCAGGGCATAAGAGCTACAGCTAATAATGCAAAACTTGTGAAAAATGTGCAACAGTAAAGTTGAGACATACTGCTTTTTAAAGGTTAAGCTTTATAAATGGCAGCAATATTTAGCACCTCCCAAGCATCTTCCATCTGCAGCTCAGAATGCTTGATAAACATTCATAAGTGGAGCCTTTTGAAGCCCTCACGCAAGAAAGATGTTTAGTATGATCTCCAGCAGGAGGAGATTCAGACCCTGTGTTTGACAGGGATGTTCTTCATGGGTCAGGGAATATTTGTGCTACTTTGTCCAAAGACATGTCCCAAGAAGGACAGAGGAGTTGGGGAAGAGTCTGGACCACAGATCTGATGAGCAGCAGCTGAAGGAATTCAGCGTGGAGACAAAGAGGGGGGAACCTTCTTGCTCCCCACAGCTCCATGGAAAGAGGCTGTAGGGTGGGGGAGAGTCAGTCTCTTCTCCCAAGTAACAAGCAGCAGGACAAAAGGAAATGCCCTCAAGTTGTGCCAGAAGAGGTTTAGATTGGATATTAGGAAAAATTTCTTCACTGAAAGGGTAGTCAGGCACTGGAACAGGCTGCCCAGGAAAGTGGTGGAATCACCATCCCTGGAAGTGTTCCAAAAATGTATGGAAGTGGCACCTAGTAGTGGCCTTGGCAGTGCTGGGTTAAGGGTTAGAGCCGATGATCTTGTCAATCCTTTCCAATCTAAACTATTTTGTGATTCTGTATGCAATGCTTTCACCCTGGGCTATATCTTGGCACAGAAATATTTCTAAATCAACCACACAGAGCACGAAGAAAAGCTCCAGACTACCCCCACTGTGATCAGCCTTGCTGACTTGAAGCCCAGGTGGCTGAAATCTCACTGTGACTGGTTTGGTATTTTGTGTTTCTGACACACATTTGCTGCCTTGGGGTTCCTTTCTAAAGAATGTGATCAATGCCCAGAATACCTGGAACTCCATCTCTGCCTATTTCCCTCATCCTAAAACAAACTGCACAATTTCCGTAAGTCCAAGAAGAGAAAGAAAGGGCCTGATGTTGCACACTCCATCCATCCATCCATCCATCCATCCATCCATCCATCCATCCATCCATCCATCCATCCATCCATCCATCCTTTCACCATTATAAGCTATTTTGGTGTTCTTTGTGCAGCACTACAAACACAGGTCTTCCTGGTATCTTTGGCATCCAATGAGGAAATTCAGCCATTGATATACAACCTCAGTGGGAACACATACACAGTTCAGGGGAATAATTTTCCACCCTTTCTTTTCAGACAACATGTGAAATCTCTGACTCTCCCTCTCCAGCTAGGACGCCTCTTTCCATACTGAGGCACTCACTGAAATGTCACTTCAAACCTTAGTGGAATCAGTGGAAAGACTTCAAGTGGCTTTCATAGCCTTTGGATGAAGCCCTGATCAGGCATTCCATTCCCTGTGGTGCTTTGGGTTACAAGGTATTGTGTAGAGAGAGAAGAGTTGATTCATGACAAACTGACTCATTGCTGTGGTGTCTGGGCACATGCTGAGGCCATTACATCACATCCCGGGCCTTTAGACCTTCAACGGAGCAGCAGACATTCCTTGGCTGTACAGCCACGACCATCTGTCCCAGTCAAAGCAGGCTGGGAGGAACAAGCCCAGAAGCACATCAGAGTGGTGGCCAGTTTATCACCAGGGAGGAATGGCAGTGACCTGCCAGTACGAGCTCTGCCAACAGGTTCCCATCCTTGCCATGACAACACAGGTCACCAGCTGGTCTGGCCCATGTCAGCTTGTGACTCAGGCCCTGCTCTTGGGGACCTCATCACAATGAGACAAACTCTGCTCACAGGAGACACTTCACATACCTTTGTGCCGTCCAGAGGGTCCTTATGTACAAACGCCTGCACAAATTCCTCAGGTCCAATGTGACTTAGTCTTTCCTGTTGAGGATAGGGGAGTGGGAAGAGAGGAAAAAATAAGAAAGCATCCCAGAATATCTTCTATTTCTCTTGATAAAACATTGTCATTTTCTGTCAGCTCTGAGTGGTGTCACTGAACTGGTAGACAGACAACTAACCAGACATTAAAATTCATAATTACAATTAGAACTATGTCAGCAGAAAAATGAAAATTAGAATAAATACGTCTCATTACTGACAAGCCACAGTAAGAGTCTCCTCCACTGCACTGGATGCACAGAGCTTCATCTGGGAGCCAGCAGACATCAGTTCTGTTTGGTGCTCCCTCAGACCTGCTGTGGCCCAGCATCTCTCAAAAGCTTTTTTTTCCAGCTGTTACAAGGCAATAACTCTGTTACCCACTGCTCAGCTGCCCACTCGGGGCTCTGCCCTGGCTCTGCCCACCGACCCTCCAGTGCTGCCCTGGGGTGGTGGCTCTGGGTCACAGGGTAAGAAATGCACTGAGGATGCACGTGACACATTAAAGGCTTTGCTTACACTGGAGAGTGTCCCAGGCACTAAGTAAAACAAGAATAAATAAAGTGTCCAAATCTCTTAGTAAAAGAGAGGCCACCTCCAGCAGATCCTGAAAAAACATGGCAGCTCCAACCACACACTGACCTTCCTGCTAGCCTTTTCACTCTTCTTAAACATGTTTAATAGAAAAGCAAATATTTTCAGCAGATTGTAGGCCACAAAGGTATTTCAGAGGAGGTATTCTTGAATTCCTACAGCCCAAACTTAGAATACTCAAGCAAAAATAAAATAAATGGTAGTTCTGCTCAAGGGAAAGCTTTATGTCTAGTCCTATGCTTTTTCTCTGGGCTGCTCACCTTAACACTGATAGCTGTATAGGGCTCTTACTAATCAATAACTGTTTTAAATAAGTATCAAATAATTCTTACTAACGAAGAAGCATCAGACAGTTTCAGTGCAGAGCACTTGATGTATCTGACATAGCAATGAAGAAGGTGGTAGAGAGAATTTATTACAGTACAGTGGAATTAAAATCTCTAGCTGCAACTGTTTTAAAAAGGCAGTGATGCCTCAGTTACAGGGAATTTCCCCTTGGAAGACAGTTGTACTGCAGAAGAGGAAAAACACAAAAGCAAGAGAGAACTCCATGCAAAAAGACTTCTACTCTCTGGCTTAAGTTATATAAAGCAAAGAGAGCCAAAGCTGCATGTTCTGAAAACTAACCATTCCACTTCTTCACAAATAGAATATAAACTATCTCCAGAAATCCAAAGGCTGATTTCCTAACACTCACTCCAATCCAAGTGTGTTTCATGTTTTGTTTTTCCATCCTTCTCCTGAAGGATGAGCAGAGTCCACAGGAGAACAGGCAGCAGGGCACCAGAGCAACAAGAGATCTGCAGATGGCAGCAATGTTTTATGTTCTGTGCACATCCAGGAGGTCCATGGGGAGGACCTGACCCTGGGAGAAGGGTGTGCAGCACAACAGCACATCCAAGGTTTCAACACTGCAATTTTTCATACAAGAGCCTGTTTGGGAGCAGACTGCAGCCCAGCACAGGGGGAACAGCAGGAATTTGTGGGGGTGGTATCTGCACACCCTTATATGTCCATGCACAAAATCCCAAAGGGAAGAATGAAAGCCACATCAGACAATTCACATGCTTTGTGTATCTGTATCTGAAGAAATGGCTTTGAACTGCTAAAATTTCTTCCCAATTCATAAAAGGGTTAATGACCAGCCATTTCAATAGCACCTACAGAGCTTGTGGGGCTCTGAGCACCTTATAGAAGTGATATTCCTGGGACTTGACTTTGCTGGAATAGGATTCTCATTTTACAAATAAGCAAGCTGAAGTACAGTGACCTGCTCCAAGCTGCACAGGGACACGCTGATACATAATTTGCTTCCCAAGCATCTCTTAACCTGTCAAACTCTGCCTCCTGCTGCAGTGCTGATACAGTATGGGATGTGCTGCAGCAGTGCAGACATTTTTTGGTTATGTCTGGAATACTTAGCAGCTGATGTCTTAAAATAACATCTCTGGCTGCAGAAGTTGGGAACCATTCCCACTTACCAGCTCCACGTGTGTCAGTTGCTGAGCTAGGGTGTAAGGGTCACTGCAGACACTCAGGATTTCTCTCTGAATTGTTGGAGGTTTAGTTTTAAAGGCAACCAGCTTATCAGAGACAGCAGTACTGATCTTGACAATCCCTTCTTGCCCATGGCTGAGGGTTGCAAGCTTCTGATTAAGGGCTTGCAAAAGCTGATTCATCTTTTTCCAGTAAGCCTGGAGAGACAAGGAGAGAAACATAAGCCACCCAGAAAACTTGACATAGGAGTGCTTTTTGTACTGACTTTTCCTTACAGCAAAATACTCCTAAGCCAGCAACAGGTTACCATTATATTTCCAACAAGCCTATTTCAGAATAACCAGTTGGCTTAATTACAGTTCTGTGCTCTGGACACAGAGACTGCAGTCAAGAGAAGAGGCAGGCATGACTGGTGGGTTGGGCTGGCATTGATACTTCAGATTCCTGCCAACATCAGATTCAAAGGAGAGGCAATGCTGCAACGTGAGTTACTGCAGCTTTCAGGAGCACAGCAGCTTTTGGTAGCTATCTTGTATGTCACGTTTTGGCTGAGAACTCTACCTCTTAATGCTGCTTTGTCAACTCTTATTTATCAGGAATAAGAAATGTTTCTAATGCTATTTTCTCCATCCTTTTGACCTGAATGCAGAAGAAGCTCGCAGCTGCTTGCTACCCAGCTGGAGTGGCTGGAGCATTGTGTAGCTTGGAGTATTTAATATCCAAATGTTAATTGCTACTGAAGGAAGCTCATATTGTACTCCAAACCCAGCCATGTACTCAGCAGGATCATCATTACCAACTTGCCCAGGTTGTTCTCAGAGCTGGAGCAACTCTTTACAGACAATAAGTGGAGTCTCTGGCCATGGAGGATGGGCAGAAAGAAATTACTTCAACTCTTCATGACTGACAGATGCAGACATCACAAAACTGAGCTAACAGAACTGGTGGATGGGTTCTAAGGACAAGGTTAATTGAACATGTCCTTGGCTAGACTGTGCCTCACCACAAAGAACAGCACACACCTGTGTCATGTCCCAAGCTGGATGCAGCTCAAGTGAGCCTTTGGGAAGTAATCCCATGATTTAGATCCAGCCTCTGTTGTCAGAGTTTTGTAGTTTGTGGATAGTCTTCTGTGTTAGGCATTGACAGCATTCATGCTTTATTGTGTACACATTGTTAGAGATCTAGGAAAATTACAGCCTGGAAAATCATTCTCAGGCTGGAGTTTCTCCTGTTCTCTCAGCTCTGTTCTCAAGCTGATGTGTCAGCTTCAGTAGGGAGATTTTTCTCCCAGGATGATAACTTGGTTAAAATAGGATGGAATTAACAACATTACATTAACACCTGGTACCAACTGTGGGACTCATCCTGAAGTACTGTCCCAGAGGCGTTTGCTCAGTTATCCAATGAGCTGCTGTCTTGTCTTAGCTCTGCAGAAGATCCTTTAAGTACGAATTGTCCTCTCAATAAAATTGTCTCTTTCCTATCATGAGAGGGACCATGCAGCTGTGTCTTATTTCCGCTGTTCCAAAGGGTTAAATCCCTAACCCACAGCTACACTTTAAGTGTTCAAGGAACCAGAAACCAGAGTCAGTGCTCTTCTCACCTGTACAGAATCCAATCTGCACATTGGAGATAGCACCTCCTCCTACTTCACAGTGAAGGATAACTTCTCACATCTACTCTGTCTACATTACAGGGTAGCAAAGGCTAGAGACCTCTAGAACATCTCAAGTGCTTCAACTTTTGCCACAACATTTTGTAACTTTGATGCAGCTTTTTTAACAAAAGGTTTCACATTGCTCTCCGTTCACTTAAGGAAGATGCTCTCTTGAGCCAGGCTAGAATGTGTACCAGATAAGCAGGATGTAGTCAGACTTTTTTTTTTTTTTTTTAACTGATGTATATTAGCTCCAAGAAAGACCTTCTTCATGTAAATCTTCATGTCAACAGATGGTCACACTTTTGATTTACAAAGACTGTTCTGGACCCAAACTACTGAGCACCATCTAAATATTTCTCTGTTTTACATCCAGGTGTGTTTGCAAATCTCAACACAGCTTATGAAGCTCTGAACACAGTGTGATATTTTTAGTGAAAACTCAAATAGTGACATACTCAGCATTTTGTGAATTTATTTTGTAAACGGAAAGCTCAGTTTTTTGGGGGTGGAGGGACAGCACTGAAAGCCAAGCCTTCTAATGAATATAAAACATCTGGCTAAAAGACTTGGCTGGAAACCCAGCTTCTCTTTCTAAAAAGTCTGGATGAAAAATCTTGGACCAGCCACATCTAAGCAGTATCAAATTCTTCATAGCTTGAATGAAAAGCCAAAAAGCTGCATAAAATTGCTTGAAATACATACATATTAGCCAGTATTTCAATAAATATTTATTAAGAAATCTAGTTTCACCTTATTTTGTAGGGAATATGGCACAAAAAATAGATATAGACAACAGTAAACAAAGATTCAGGTAAGCCAACCACCAAATGAAGAATGAAAAAGAGGAGAGACAGTTGAAGGACACGAACAATTACACAGAAATCAAAACTCTTGAAGAGACTCACTGGAAATCGGTTGGATGCACCCTTGCTTAGAAAGCTTTTCTGTGCACATTAGGAGAGAAATTAAAAAAAAAAAATCCTGCTTTTGCCCTTCTTTTAAAAGCCTTTCCTTCCTTCTTTAAACTACATCCACTAACTGAAAACAACATTGTTCATTACCTTCTACGTGCTGGTAATTATCTTGCCACAAAGTGACCCCCCACTGTACAGGGGCTGCATGCTGGACTTTATCAACCGATTTCACTTCACTGCCACATTAACAGTCAAAAGAAGCACACTACTGTTTAATATTTAAAGAAAATGTTTCTTTCTTAACTAGGAAAGTTCCTCTGAAGACAGCAGGCCTCAGCAGGTGGCTTAGGAGCTCAAATTTTAATTAAAATTTCTAACTCTAAATGCAAATCACAGCACTTGCTAAGAAATGCTTCTCAGCATGGACACCTTTATAAGCACATCACAGCCTTTAGAAAGTGGACTCTACAAAGGACAGGAACAGACACTGCAGGGGAAAATCCTGCACTGACCTACATGGACTGGATGACATCACAAATCTTTCAGTCTTTAATTTCTGTGGTTCACAACGGGGAACAAGTTCCTTCCAAAAAACTAACAGCCACCATCACTCTTCTGTGCTGTCCCTTAAAAAAAAGGAAATTTGCATTCGGAGGATATGAGCTGTTTCTTAAATTAATTATTGATTTTGCTCAGGCATAATCACTTGCAATTACGGTGCCTAGTAATATCTGAAAAACAGTGATTTGAAACTAATGTAGTCTGAGGCCCTCCAGGGCACCCACATGCATTTGTACACAGCTGTGCATGCTCCAGAGCAAAGGTGTGCAGGGCTTGCTCAGGTTAAGCAAATAAACCACTGCTTTTCATGCAGAAAGTTGATTTATAGCATTTATGATTCTTCACCAGGCAACTATTGCTGTTAAAGAGCACATGCTAAGTCCCTGTTCTCTGCCCTCTGGTTCCTTCTGTCCAGTGGACACAATTCTGGCAGATCTTTATGGGCTTCCCTCACTTCTGATGCTGAAGGGCTGCAAGGCATCTTTTGCCATGGCTGGCCAGGAGCAAGTCCATTGCCTCTTTCCCTTAAGGGAATTCTACTACTCTGGTTAATGGAACTAAAGCCACTTTGGCTCTTTCTGAGTTTTCTTGTTACCTTCACTTCTACCACTGTCTCTCACAGCTTCCCTGTCTTTCCCCTTCTCTTCCATGGGCTGCCCAGCCCAGCCAGTCAATCCATGCCAGCTTACAGCTTCCTGAAAGTGCCAGACATGATGCCAGTCAGTCCAAGAGCAGCTGTTCCCATTTATGACATATTTCATGTGCATAGGAGAACCCTATTTCATTTTTGTCGTGCTGCAGCCCTGCTAAGTCCTCTCTCCACTCTTCTCTCTCTCATCCTCCTGGGTATGTTCTTGTTCTACTGGACTGCACCCCTCTGTGGCTTGAGGCCAGTGGAACTGAATTTTTCCACATCCCATGGTTAACCTAGAAGTAATTAGAGACTCACAGTGTACTGTTTGCTTATTATTTTCATGAACTTTGTGGTCTTTTTAATGTTTCTGAAATAATTTATGGGGTTCACCCACCTGAATTTGCAAGCAGGTCTCCCAGAGGCTCCATTCACTGTGACCCACTGTGCCACACACAGAGCTCACCAGGACCATACAGACATCTAGCCTGAATCTGTGCTCAGCAGGCCACACACTGCTGTCTTCTGCCACTTCCATGCTCCCAGACAAGCTACATGTCTCCTAATATTAGTATTTTCTTTAAATATAAGAACTTGGATCCAGAGAAGCTGTGGATGCCCCACCCTTGGAAGTATTCAAGGCCAGGTTGGACAGGGCTTGGAGCAACCTGGTCTAGAGGAAGGCTTCCCTGCCCATGGCAGGGATGTGGAACAAGATGGTCTTTTAAGGACCCTTCTAACCCAAAGCAGTCTGTGATTCTATGATTCTAACTTGGGAGATCACAGCTCTGCTGCTATATGAATTGTCACCAGCACATTCAGTCTGTGCTATGCCTTAATATATTTCTTCCATAAAATGGGAATGTTGTTATCCTACAATTCGATATGCAGGAGATAAATTCCAATGCTCACTGCTCCAAGAGCACCTAAAGAGAGATGTGGCTTTCAGGGAAGATACTATAGGTTTTAACATTATTGGAGAACAAAATCTGAGAGTATCCAGGAAGAGGCATGGAACAGAATGCAGATAAAAGAGGAAATGGAGGAACGAAGTGGGAAAATGAACTTAACATATCAGCAGAACATCCCAAGTCAAGGATCCTCACCTCATCACATGGGGCTATCCTATGAATCATGTCTTTCAGATGGCCAATCATCCGCTCTTCCTGAAAGTCATACGGGAATGTCTCTGTCCACTCTGTCAGCAACTGTAAGATTTTGGGTCCAAATTTTCTGATTCGAGCCTGAAATGCAAACCATTGAATGATGGACATGGATTGAAACATGTCTACTCATTAAAGTCTCCCACTGTGTGTGTCACTGAATGTGGGGCCAGGTTTTCAAAGAAGGCATTTGTGTTGCACCTGCAAAACCTGCACACATGCATACAAAGAGAGTGGTGCACAAATAACACATTTTGGCATGCAAAATGTACCAGAACTCAGGTGCATGCACAACTGCCTGTTTTACATGCAGATCTAAGTATTCTGCACATGCAATTGGCCTGTTTATGGTTGGATGGACGTTTTGTTGGTGCAACCTTCATACCTTTTTTTAAAATATCTGGCCTTTTTACTGATTCAAACCATTTGTTCTTCCCTTTCGTACTTACAATCCTTCTATATTTTCATCCTTCTCTGAAAAACTGCAATGAATTTCTTTACCAACAAAGATGTTTTTTGGTCCTTTGCTTTCTGATTGTATGAAAAAACTTCTTAGTGACCACTGGCAGATGTACAATGAAGAAAAGATGAACAAAACAGCAGCACTTTTGTAACTTTACCTGGGCTGCTGGTAACATTGCAGTCTTCCCACATGAGCTCAAGGTCATGATGGGACAAGGACACTCCCTCTGCATACAGCTGATACCCATTTCTGGTGGAGATTTATCTGAGGATGTGGCAGTGGAAATAGTTGGGATGGGGCAAGGAGGGAAATGCAGGGAATGGCACAACTGGTACATTAGTGTTATCTCAAAAGACAGCTAGTGCAGCTGCTCCCAAAGCTTTCATCCTCCGTTATGAGAAAAGGAAATGGGACAACAAACTGCATTTTTATTTACAGAAAACACAGACCGAAACAAATAGCCTTCTTCTGCATCCCCACGTACTGCAGCGAAAGTGTACCCTGTAATCAGGAAAAATTATACTCTTAAGCTGCCCAGCTCTTTGTTTTTCAACCAAGGTGGTTAAAATGCATATTTCAGCTTTCCACCAACAACAGGTTTCAATGAACCACGTCTCTAAAAATAACTGCTGTCAGCTAGCATTAAGCTCAGGCTCAAAGACCAGCAGGTGGCTGCTAAAGGGAAAGCTTTATTGGAAACTACAAAGGTCTGGGGAGATATTTGCTCCAGCTGTGTAAACTGCATTACTAATTGATGGAGAGGACTCTGTACAAGTCACAGGACATGGGATGGGAGATTGCTTGTGTACAAAGTTTCAAAATCAGCCCCACTCTTGGGAACACAGAATCAGTAGTGTCCCACCAATCCTGTGCTGCTACAAAACCCAGATGCACTTTAGGCAGATAAGAAGTCTTCATAATAAGACAATGTTTTTCATTTCTTGAAAGTTTATTGAGAAGCAAAACTTTGCAATGCTCACATTTAATCGCCTTAAACTTGTATTATAGAAGTGGAGAACAGAACCTCACACCTTAGAAAACTTGTTTTGCATGGTTCACCCCATACAGATATTTCTATTAACACTGACTCTATGGGTAACCGAAGTCTGGGATTGCTGAGCATTCTGGAGAATGGCTCTCCACAGTGACGACAGAGCTCCTGTTACTCATGGAACCAGTTGCCTGTGCAAGAAACAAGCACATGGTCAGATGTTGGTGACTCAGTATTTGATGCCAAATTCAGTTTCAAAGCTGGAAAGCCTGATCCTGAAAACAATTTCAGAATTTTGGTGTTTCTGGAAATTTGCAACAAATACAAGTTATTTCACCCTGAAGGTGCATCTCCTGCTCCAGATAATGTACCAATCAAGTGTTCATGAGTGCAGCAAGCAGAGCTTGGGCAGAATCCAGCACTGAGCAACATCCAGTGGGATCCATCACCACTGCACTGTCTGTGGCGCTGCCAGAGGATGCACATGTGCTGCTATACACTGTTCCAGTCTGCACAGTCCCTGGGGTAAAACAGGAGGAGTGCTGAGGCAGGAACAGCTTGGATTTTCTCATTCTGATCATCTGTCTGGGCCCCACTGCTGCTCCTGCCCATTTCCAGTGCTCCATTGATGCTGCTCTGCAGCACAGAGGGCAGGAGGGTGGTGGGCACCTGCCCCCTGTTACATGGTGCTCAAAGTGACAGGGAAGGCCAAGAGGAAATATTACTGTACCAGGAGCAAGAAAGCAAAGGGGCAGAGACAATTAAGTAAAAATGGGAAAGAGAGTGGTGTGTGGACATCTGCACTTGACAGTGTGTGAGGGTTATGTCCTGCCTCCTTGCATCCCACAGGCTTCACCAGAGCCTTAAAGAAGTTAAGAAGGAAAGTCACCTGGGAAGACTGAGACGGGGGAAAGGGAAAATTAGATGAAGATTTGAAGTGACTATTGCCTGAAGCATTACTCTCAGGATGCCTCAATGTCAGGATCTCAGTGGCAAATCCTTTATGAGAAAGCTCCATTCAATCTAAAGAGGCAAGGGGCACACACCAGAGCCACAGAATCCTCTACCCATTGAAAATACCTCACATTTTTCTGCTGTAAAGATAAACTAACCTTGTCCAGCACAGGGTCATCCAGCCGCTGCTGCTCAATGCACTTGTGACAAACTCGGGACAAAAGCTCATGGGGTTCGATGAAGAGTCTGGAACTCAGCAGGAATGTAAAGATATAGGCTTTCTGCAGGAGAAAGACAAGTAGACCTACAGTTAGCAGCCACACAGTGGGTAATATTGACTGTAAAACCCTGAACTTCACAGCTTTTTCATTTCTACTTGGCAAGACCTTTTTATTTAAAAGATAACAATTCTTAACCCTGAATATGGAACTGGTTACACTGGGCACAGGTGGCAGCAGCATCTCCTTCCTCCACAGCATCCACTTCCAGCCCTTGGTTGCCTAAACCCTGGGCAAGCATCCAGTGAAGACAGTGTGCAGGAGCAAGCCCAGGTACAGGAGACAGTGAAGTTAAATGGGCAGGAATCTCTGTGTTGTGCTGGGTTGGGAGCTGCAGACACCCTCACGTCAGCCACACCTTGCTATTGCCCTGCTGATCTCACACAGCCTATTTTAAGCAATATTTCATTTATTCTATTAACTCCCCACATTTCATTTCTATCAGCCAAGTCACATCATATGCAGTTCCACATCTGTGAAGCTCTGGAAGGCAAGTCTGCTGGATAAATCCTTGGATTATTCAAATTATTCCAGCAGTGAATTTAAAATACATGCATGAGGTCTCAGTTGTTTGTATCCTGACCCCTTCTTGTGTCCTTGCACCTGAATTATCTCCTTTTCCCCAGCCCTAGCCATGCTCCCAAGCAGCAGATATAATATTACATATCACACATTGCCTAATGAAAATCTCGCAGCCTGATCTGTCCATTACCCATTTTTATTGCCTTTCAGTTCCGTTTTTTTTTTTTCTAATTGAGATGCTTCTTTATTACTTATTTTTAGCTGATCAGAAACTGAGCTCCAGGTAATTTAAAATATGCTGCCTGCTCTGCATTGATAACTTTCCCAGTCTCCTCAAGTACCCAGAAGTCAGTGCTCCTCTGTGCTTTGAAATACAAGCCATGGAGATATATTAGCACTTAAAAGTCTTCTAGTCAAACTCTCTCTGAATTCCACTGAGGATGTGCAAAATCCAGTGAAGTCAATAGTTTGCAGGATCCCATATAGACCTGCTTCCAGTTTAGATCCCCACACTCTTGGTGAGGAAACACCTAATTTCCACTGATGGAGCAAGGATTAGGATCTGGGCTGTGCTGTCCAGTGACTGCAAAGCTGCGAATACAACGCCAGGTAAATTATAAGCCCATCTCTGTTGTCACCAAGGGAATGCTCTGTACATACAGGCAAACTAAATTTCAGCAGCCACTGAAATTCAGCTAACTTAATGCCAGTTCTGACTTGGGAGTTTTTTGCTTCAGTTTTCCTCTAAACCTCTCTGGGAAGCACTGCTATTTTTGAAGTGCTCCAACTAGCACATCACTAATTCATCACCACAACAGCTTCCCCCATACCTTGTTGTCTTATTTAAAGGCAGTATCATCTTTGGGATCTGCTTTTTCGTGGGAACAATTATAGAGCAGTGAAACAGCATTTAAAGCAATGCATCAATTTACCAAGATTTAATTGTATGCAGCTTTTAAATGAGCCCTCTTAATTCAAAATTTAACACATTTGCACTTTTGCATAAGATCCTGCCCCAATTCATCAAAATTAAACGATTTATTACACTGTGAATTGCTTACTTCAGGGTAGTAATCAGTGGTAGGTATCAGATGCTGTATTAGAGCATCCAGAGATGCTGAGGTAAGGTTTCCATCCTGGAAGATCAGTCCTCCTTGTTCACCTTCTTTTGAAGTATGTAGATGAGGGCTGAAGCCACATGGGGTAAACATACTGGTAGAACTCAGCGTTTGGGGCATGCCTTCCTGCAACAGAGGCAGAGACAAGATCCATCAGATCCACAGCCACATCTGTCTCCTGGCTGATTTGAACAACACAGCCACTAACGAGAACTTCCTGTTCACAAAATTAACATCATCTCTTCTTGATAACCTTCACATCTCTTTCGTTGGTGGCACTGGCAGATCATGCCTGCAATGGGCAGAACACAGAAAATGAGACATTTTGATTAATGCTTTTGGGCCAGAAAGTGATGGCAGCTACTTTGGGCTCCCCCCTAATTGAGAGTGTCTGTGATGACTCCCTTTTCACTGCCACCTCTAGTCAGGCCCACACAGGAGAGGAGTGATACCTGGGACTTAAACTTCAGCAGCTTCCTGAACAGGATGAAGCAGTTTGTTTGAACCTCTGCCCTCCTGAGAATGAGGCAGGAGATTCTAGGGGGCGAGGGAGAGAAAAGGGGTGCCACCTAGAGCTTGCTTGGGATGGACCTTGGAGAATGCCCTGTGGCTCCCTTGGCACAGCACAGGTGTCAGAGTGAGTGAGGAGACAGAAGCAGGAGCAGAAGTCAACTGGGGGAGAATGGGAAAGTTAAGGGAGTTGGAGGAAACAGAGAATGTGGGAGTGATGAAGAGATTAAATAGCAAGGAAAAGAGAAATGAAGAAGAGTGAGAAGGCAGACACCTGAACTATATTTGGAGCCTGAAGTTAGTCAGTCCTAGATCTATACTTAGGTACTAAATAAGTGTTTCAAGGAAATCCTGAGCACCCATCGCCTTCACTAGAGCTGCTCAGTCCTCAGCAGTTCTGGAAAGGAGGCCAGGCAGACTGAGCACATAGCCCAGATTCAAATCCCAATATTTCAGTTATCTGAGTTTTTCAGGTTGCATTCTAGGTTTCATATTGATTTTGTGGTTTACAATAAGCTTTCAATGTTCCTCCTGTTGAGCAAAGTTGTTTTGTTTCTGAATTGCTGCAGAGGGATGAGAGATTTTGCCCTGAGAGCTTTAAAGCATCTCCAGCTGCCTCTGAAATCCCCCCTGGAAGCTGCTCCTCTCTCAGCTAGAGGCAGCATTATAGGACACGGATGGGAAAAGAACAGTGTGTGCTCCCTGATGCAAATGCATCATCCAGAGCAAGGGACCCCTCTGTGACCTGACTATTTGTTTCCATGTTTGATTTTCCTCATAAAAGGGAGGATAGGAAAGAGATAAGAGAAGAGCACCAGAGCCAAGCAAGATCTGCACCCTGTGCCCTGCTGAGCCAGCACTGACCTCCCACAGCAGAAGGCCCGGGGCCATGGTGACAGCACTGCCAGGGCTCGGGCACACACAGGCAGCAGACACACCTTGGATTTTAATATATTCCTCTGCTCTTTTCTGTATTCTGTTCCCTCTGCTTTTCTGCCTCTTTGCTATCCCATACAATTTCAAAAACTGATCCATAGATTTGGCTTAGAATTTGGAGATTACCTTTCTCCCTCATATATATGAGCAGCTGTGCTATGACCCAGCCAGCTCAGCCTCAGCTCCAGGTACAGCTTGTTGTGCTCACTCCTGCAAAAAACCCTTCCCTGCCTGGTACAACTTATCTACTCCCCCAGCTCAGAGTCATCCTGGGCCACCGAGGAGAAGGGAATCATTCCTGTAAGCCAGGCAGGGTGTGAAGCCCTGGGAGAGGCTGGGAGCTGAGCCCCAGCTCCGTGGGAGATCAGGCTTTACAAGCAAAACTTGGGTGACTTCATCCTTCAAAGGAGGGACTGCTCCCTGGAGCCAGCAGTTCGATCACTTATCTTCTTCTGGGAGGCTCACACAGGCTGCCTCTGGGATTTGCAACCAACAGAAAGGAACCAAAATGTCCAACCTGACCAATTTCTACCATGATTGGAAAATAAACTAGATGCTGGATTTTAGTTTAAAGACCAGAATATGTAAACGCTATCCTAGCCAGGATGGAAGTTGAAGCATCTAGTTCTAACTAATGTGCAGATGTGCCTGTTAATAAAGCTCTGAGAGCAAGTAATTGCTGCTTTTTGTATTACATAGCTCAGACTCTGTGTAGTAAATGGGAAGGACTGCCAAATCCCATTTGTTACTTCTAACACGCTCTATGTTATGGCTTGTTTCTATGGCGATAATCCCAAGAAGGATTTCATGTCCACATAGATCAAGAAATAAATCTTATGGACATACAGCTGTCTAGATGTGGAAAAGAAAAAAGTTAAAAACAGCTGTGAACTTAGAGGACACATCCTGGCTGCAACATAAAACAGAACTCACAAGTAACAATTTATTCAGTGCAATCTCTCACTGTCAATGCCATTTTTATTATCAAATAGAAACCATCTAAACAGGATATTGCCTGAACTTTTGCATCTTTTAAATGAGAAATCTTGCTGAAATACATGGTAATGCTTTTTAAGAAAAAGTTACATTTTTTAAAAAGGAAATAAAACAGCTGTACAACTGTCACTGAGACATCTGTCTTGGGTATTGTCAAGAAATTAAATTTGACTTTTTTTATTACGAAGTTCCTGATCTAACCTCAAGTTTTCAGGCAAAGCCTGTGTCATATCTGAGCTGGTGCATGATTGCCACCTTACTTGCCACCAAAGAAGACTTGGAGGTTTTAACAGATGCCTTTTGCTCCCTTTTATGTTACTCACAGTAGGATGAGGCCACCTGTACAAAGGATAAAAGCCTCTTGCACTACTAGGCTCAAAAATAACTAACATTAGCATTTGACAGACATGAATTCCGGACAGGTACTTCTCTGCTCACACCGCCTAATTTCTTTTTCTGTTCATACATTTCTGGAGTTCTCTTTTCAATAGTACTAAATAGAAAAAAGATCTTTCTATGAAAGAGCCCAAATACACAGACAAGGTTCTGCTGTCAATCATTCACAGAAAACAGAAACAAGGGAAGCACTGAGAGGAAAACAAACAAACAGGGAGATTTATCTTACTGAACTCTTTGGATGATGGAAAAGGCAGCACAGACAGAGGCAGAGCCCTGAAGAGCACAGCGACAGCATGAGAGGCAGCACTCCCAGGCTGCAGCAGAGAAATTCCAGCTGAAGAGAAAATCATCCCCTGAGCACTGTGTGAAATTGGAAGAGGGATCTGGAAAGGATATTCCATTTCCATCCTGGGAGATTTTCAAAACTCAATAGACAAGACTGAGCAAACTTCAAGCCCTGCTTCAAGTGGGAACTTGGACTAATGAGTACAAGTGGTCACTTCTGATTAGCTTCTCTGTGACTCTAACACACACATTTCTATTCAAGTATTGCTCCATTTCTGAGCTTTTTAATACAAACCCTGGCAAGTAAAAAACGAGTCTAGATTATTACATATTTGTAAAGAAGTCCATCTTGGCATAAAAAGTTTTTTCCACCTTTCCTGATAACAACAGCTCAAAATGTGGTAAAAATTACTCAAAACCTAATTTTAAAACCTCATGGACTTAACCTGAAGTCAATTAAATTTAAGCATGTGAACATTCAGCAGGTGCTTCCATGAACTTTCATCCAATTCAACACACAATATTTTGCTGTTCCTCTCATTTCAGAAGCAGATCTGATGCCAGTTGGTAAATGGTGCTCTGGAAGAAGTGAGATGGTGAGATGTTAGAGAAGGGCGAACTTCCACCCCAACATGCAAAATGACTGATGATGTGGCTGCACACACACAGCATTTAAACTACCTCTGTGTTCTGAAGTGCTGAGACCAGGAGATAGGAAAATATTTCTGCACTGGCTAAAAAAAAACAAAGAGAAAATCCAGGGACAGACTGTTTCTGGGACTGGTCTCTGTTACACAGAAGCTCCCATGTGGCAGAAGGCAGGGCATGTGCCTCCCCCCTTGCCTATAGAAAACCAAAGTGATAAACTGGAAACAAAGGCAGACTGGACTCAGTGCTACCTGGAAAAAGGAACAGCAAATGCTGCTGAGCTGGGCTGGTAACATTTTGCATTAATTTTACCAAAATGTTATGTCCACCAGCAGTGACCAGAGCAATCAGCACCACCATTCTTAAAATAATGGCAGCATACACCTTTTTATCTTTCTCCACTGGCCAGCACCACCCAGTATTTCAACACAGTGATGAAAAAAGACATAGACACTTCTCACTACAAATGATGCTGCTTACACAAAGTATTTCAGGACTTGATTCACTGAGCTAAAGCACGGAACCAAAGGATCATCCATGCTTGGGAGAAAAGTTGCCCACAAACTCTGCACCTATCTACATCTGCAAGTGCCTTGAAATCTGGAAAACTAGTGCCTAGACCTGTAAGACTGAGGAGGCTTAAAGGAGTCCTAAGCATACACATGGGCCTGCTGATCTGGTGCAAGAGAGGTTCAAGGTGCCAGAGGATGGCTGCAGTCTGCCAGCTCTGCCTTCCTGGGCTAGGCAGGTGACCTGCAGCACAGCCACGAGGGTAAATACCCACCAGCATTCCCCAGCTCCACCACTTACTGGTACAGGTGTCCCCATGGCAAGTACAGTTAATGCTTACGTGGACACGAAATGTTCAGGAAACATTTAATGTGGCTTTCAGTGCCTTTGATGTGATAAGTGTTTTATCCTTTATCAAAAACCTAATCACACTGTTTACTTTTGATCTTCATTTCATCTCTGCCTTCCATCTGCTCTGCCTCTCTCCAGGGGAAACAAGAGTTGGTACCATGTGACCAAGGGAACGGGGCTGCTGACTTATCTTCCCACCCACTTAACTTTCGGATTAACCAAATAAATAAAAGCCTTCCCACTTCAGGGATGAAAGGCACAAGCTTCTGACAATCTCCCAGCAGAATTACAGAAGAGAGGGTGGTAAGGAAAGGTGTGCAGGCTGGGGTATCCATCTGTGCTATGAGGGAGGCTCCAGTGTCACTGAAGTAAATCAGCATTCAGGGAGCATGGGCAGGGGACAAACCAAGGGTATGGGAGATCCAAGTCAAGCATTAATTTGGCAAGGCACAGATTTTAACAAACATACCTAATCCAGAGTGAGATGGGAC